CTGGCCAAACCTACTGAGTACTGCACTAGGCTTATGCGATCCACTCCAAAACGTAAAGTAACACTAGCAAGTGCTTTTGTTCGTCTTCCCATGTTCATGTTCTGGAACTTATAATACAGACCACTATGAGTCATGTGTACAGGTGTCTTCCACTAAACATTAATGTTAACTGTCAAATGAATTCGAACTTTAACATTTTTTTTGCTGGTGAACAGTGAAAAGCACAGTGGCTGAAAGATCTGAAGGACACTCAAGTTCAACCTAGGGTCTTTTATCAATGGCATGGTATTGGGACAATCATTTGACTTCTCTGAGTTTAAATAACTTTAGTTGTAAATTACAGAGGTTGAATTAACAGGGGTCTTGAAGTCCCCAAATGAACTCTAGAACAGTGCAAACCGTGGCTCAGTGGGTTAAAGCCTCTGCCTTCAACTCAGGTCATGATCTCAGAGTCCTGGGATCAAGCCCCACATTGGGCTCTCTGCTCGGCATGGAGCCTGCTTCCTCCTCTCTCTCTGCCTGCTTCTCTGCCTACTTGTGATCTCCGTCTGTCAAATAAAATCTTAAAAAAAAAACACACAAAAAAAACAGTGCAAACCATGTAATATTTTCACAGCACATTCTGCTGCTAAATCTTAACAGTTTAATGTCATTTTAATTTCACCACTTCAAGAAAGGTCCTAGAAAGAGCACGCTATAGTCAAGAGAAATCGTGACTTGAAAAGGTTCGCGATTAGCCGGAACACACCCAAGTAGAAAGGCCCAGCCGGCCGGAAACCACTAAGTCTGCAGACACCAAATGGCAACGGCTTTCATGGCACTGGGGACTAGAGGTCATGGTATACTTTCAATGACAAGTCCAAGAGAAGAGAAGTCCAAAAGTCAGTACTGTTACCCGGTTTTCATGGGAATGCTTGTGAATTCCAGAACCACAGAGCGGACACGAACCTACGGGTGGAAAACAGACCCAGTCAGTTGAACTGCATCGCGCTTGCGCAGGAGGACGGACGAAGCCGCCTACTACCACGCAGGCTCTGCGTGTTCCCCTTCTAGCTTCCCTGCCCCGCCCTGGCCTTAAGGGGCAGTGGCTTCCAGCCGGGATAAATCCTTAAGGCTACCTTGGGTTGAGAGTCCTTAGGAATGGAGTTGGGTACTATTGCCAGTTGTGGTGGGCTGAGCATCCAAACCTTCCAGCCTGCTCTGCCCTGTCACACTAGAGGCACTTCCAGGGCAAGCAGAGGTTTAGGCTTGATTTTTGTTTTTGTTGATAGGCTGAGGCTACGAATTGTAGATGCATTTACTGGAGATCTCACAGGTCTCAAAAGGTGGTACTGCCTACAGTGAGGTCACAAAACTAGGGTCTGAGCCAGGCAGATTTTATTCTGGAAATGACGGGAGGGCTTGGAATCCAATTCCTTAAGGATGTGGGAGCTTGGATCACTTTATAGTGTCTCTCCTATAGAAGTTATCTCATAAGACTGCAAAAACAAAACGAAACCAAACCAAAATAAAACACAAAAAAAACCCACAAAACTGTCTTTACCGCCCCCCTCTTACACATTTTCATTCAGAAGTCAAACCCACTGAGATGCTACCATTTTGCCTCAATGAAGATGTAAAGGAAAATTCTGTAACTAATACAATTTTCCTCACTTGCTGGACTGGTACATAGTTTAATGTCTATGACAACTGTGGCTCTTTTAAAAAAAATAACGTATTTCAGCCATTACAAAATCAAAATGAAGTAATGGGGGCAAGAATAAACAACTTGGATATCAAGGAGTACTTGGAGAAGATTGATAGAGAACTGGTATTGGTAGATTTCTAAATTCCAAGCTCAACATCTATGAAGATGATAGCAAAACAGAGCCCAGTCAGGGCCATTAATCATAATTCATTCCTAATTCAGTGTGAACAACATATTTTATTCAGAGGAATACACAAATTTGAAAAAAAGTATTAATGTTATAGTAGTGGGATCATCAGTATTCATTTAAAAATGTCTTTGGAGAGGGGCACGTGGGTGGCTCAGTCTGTTAAGCATGAGATTCTTGATTTTGGCTCAGGTCATGATCTCAGGGTCATGAGATCAAGTCCCTCCTAGGTCTCCACGCTCTGTGCAATAGGCTTGGGATTCTCTCTCTCCCTCTACGCCTCACCCTTGCTCATGCACACTCTCTCAAAATATATATTTAAAATATGTCTTTGGTTACATTGTTTTACAATGAGGTGTAAAAAATAAGTGGTCAGGTCTATTTCCTACTCACATTCAATACCATTTATTGCCAGCCAGTATGCTGGCAACAAAAGGATGCTACTTTTTACAGACTACTTGTCCCCCCAAGCCATACTAAGTAGTTAGTGGATACTGTCCAGTAAATAATTGTAATAGAATTCCTGTAAGTGTTGTAAATGTCTAAGTATGTGGAATTTAGTACATAGATTTTCTCAGTCTTGTCAGAGGTAGCTTTCTAGAGAAAGAACTCTTTCTAGTTGGAGTGAAAATTAGCTAGATGAAGAGAAAGAGGTCTCCATGAATAGGAAATATCATACGGAAAACCCTTGAGCTAATAAGCACACATGGTAGATGGGAAGCTGGAAGCTGCTGCATGGCTGACACATGGAATACAAAGGTTGCAGTGCAAGAGAACATTAGAACTTTCATGCAAGACAAGCCGTTTCAGAGTTTAGAATTCACTTAAAAGTTTATGGGGAGTCTTTGAAAGTTTAAAGCATTTGTGTGCAATAATCAAAATTTGTATTTCAAAAAGATCCTCTGCCTGCATTTTACAGAATTTCAAGGCAGAGACTAATTGAAGTAATGTAAGAGAGAGGATAGTAACCAGAAATATAAATATAGTACCAGTAGGGACATATGCAGATAGATACAAGGAAGAGTCTGAAAGATTTGGTAAGCATTTTAACTAAGGTACAGGGCAACCTGTGGTACAAAAGAAACAAAACAAAACAAGGAGCTTCTACGTGACTGAAGTTTATTTCTCTCTAACTGTCTGGAGGTAGATGGGTGGCCCAGGATTCCATTCCTAATACTGGATTCCACTTGTAGTCCACTGCCATCACTACAGTTTTCACGGCTCTCCAACCAGCAGAGAGAGGAAAACCTGTCAGGAGAATAGAATGATGCCTAGCTGCTTGATGGGCAAGACTTGGAAGTGACAAATATCATTTCTGTTCACATCCAATTGACGAGTACTTATTAACAGAAATTTGAAGTTGGGTGGCTTTGTGTCCAGCTAAACTTCTATAACAATGAGAATGAATAAATATAATGGATAACAACTAGTAGAATGCCTTACTAAGTCATGGGATATGGCATACGGGCACAGAGAGAGGGGGCAGGTTTTTGAGATTCCCTGCACTGAGGCTGAATGGCAAAGATCTTCCCATTTATATGTGTGTTCTTCAATTTCTTTCATCAATGTCTGATAGTTTTCAATGTACAGATCTTTCATCTCCTTGGTTAAATTTATCCATAGATATTTTATTCTTTTCATGCAGTTATTAATGGGATCCTATTTACAACCCCATGAAAACAATAAAATATCTATGGGTAAATTTGAGAAGGCAAAAATAAATGGGAAGATCTTCCATGCTCATGGCTTAGAAGAATTAATACTGTTAAAATGTCCATATCACCCAAAGAATCTACAGATTCAGTGCAACCAACCCCTATCAAAATCCCAATGGCATTTTTCACAGAAACAGAAAAAAAAATCCTAAAGTTTGTATGGAACCACAAGAGACTCTGAACAGTAAAAGTAATCTTGAGAAAGAAGAGCAAAGCTGGAGGTATTACCTTTCCTGACTTCAAGCTATATTACAAAGCTATAGTAACCAAAACAGTATGGTATTAGCATAAACACAGACATAAATATCAATGGAAGAAAACAAGTGCCCAGAAATAAGCCCTCATGTATATGTGGTCAATTAATTTGCTACAAAGGAGCCAAGAATATACAATGGTGAAAGGATAGTCTCCTCAATCAACAGTGCTAGGAAAACTGGACAGTCATATGGAAAAAAGGATGAAAATGGACCACCCGTATACCATACACAAAAGTTAAATAAAAAGTGGATTAAAGACCTGAAACCATAGAACAAATGAACAGAGAATAATTTTGCACATTAACTCATCATTAAGTGTTCACACTCCAGTATACCTTTTCTATTTCTGAATAAGATATGAGCTTTTACAAAATACCACCATCATCATTCATTGGGAATCTCTCCAATATGAATATTTTGGGGCATATTAATAATAAATTTCTTGGCTCAAGATCCTACAGGTAACTTACAGAAATAACTTACAGCAGAACAAGGAAACTAGTGAACAGAGTACTAAGACACTTTATTGACCTCTTAATATTTGGAATAAATGACAGACCCAAGAATATGGATGTCCCTCCAGCCTACATTCCAAAGAGTACTTTTAAAATGAAAATGTGACAACTATATACAGAATCCACTTGCCACTGCAGTTGATAATCCTCCTCCAATTCTAGTCCCCACTCAGCATCAAGAGAGCCAAGATATTATCATGGAGTAATTTGTCATTCCTGTGGTCTCTAACATTAATTCAGAGAGTTCAGTCTTTAGAAGTATTCCTATATTCCTGTGAGCTCCTGGTTTCTCATGACCTTCTCGTAAGGACTAAAAGTTTGAGTTTTATTAAATATCAATTCCAAGGATATTGATTGCTTGGCTCCTCCCTAATATCTACTTCAATAAATCATGTGAATATAAGGATGCCACAGGTTCCATTTATGAACTAGGAATGATGATGGCAAATGGATTATCAGAATAATGACAGGCAAACACTTGTATGGTGATACATTTTACTCTAAACCCTTGTGGCTTCATTTGGGAATAGATTCCTACACAATAACAGATTTCTCTCCAATATTAATTCTGTCATATGAATTAGAGAAGAATCCCTGACAAATGTTTTCTTGCATTTACTCTATTCACAGGATTCCCTCTAGTATAAATTCATTGATGTTAAATTCATTGATGTCTGTGTGTCTTCCTTTTACAGGACTTCTCTTGAGTATGAAGTTTTTGGTGTTTTTTAAGGTTTGAACTCCTGTTGAAGGTTTTCTCACATTCCTTACATTTGAATGGTTTCTCTCCTGTATGAATCATTTGATGTCGAATAAGGGAGGAGCTCCGGCTGAAGGATTTTCCACAGTTAACACATTTGTAGGGATTATCTCCAGAATGAAGTCTTGAATTTTTATTACTGTCTTCACTCTCACTGAAAGCTTTTCTACATTTACTGTCTTCACAGACCTTTGAAGCAGTATGAATTTTTTGATGCTTAGTAAGGTTTGTACGTCTATTGAAGAATCTCCCACATTCACTGCATTTATAGGGTTTCTCTCCTGTGTGAATGATCTGATGTCGAATGAGGGATGAACTCCGGCTGAAGGCTCTCCCACATTGATAGCATTCATAGGAATTCATTGAGGTATGACTTTCTGGGTGTTGAATATCTATACTCAGGCTCAAGGCATTCCCACATTCATTATATTCTGAATATTGCTTACCTGAGTCTAAGTTAAATTTGAAGTTAGTTTTAAACTTACCACATTCTGAGGACCCCTTTCTCATAGGATTTCCTTGTTGTATACCCAAAATTGAATTAACTGACTTAACATCTAAGCTTTTCTTATTCTCACTAACTTTAAAGTTTCCCACCTCAGTGTAGACTGTCTTATGAACAAAAGCTTCTTCTGGCAAATTTATGTCCCAGTGTTCCTGGTTCCTATATAACCAATCATCACTCATCCAAGCATCTAAAGAAGGGGATCTACTTTTGGTCAGTCTTGTCATAATCATTCCAGGAGAGGATTTTTTTCCATTAATTCTTTGCTTTGGAATTGAATCTTGGTTTTCTGAAATTATCTCTCTGTCTAAAAAGAAATTAAAAATTCCATGAATTAGAAGGGAAATTGTTTAATTAGGAAAGGGATGCTAAAACACATAAGGGATATGCATATTTTATAGGCCTTAAATACACAATGGAAATGTAAGATGAGATTAGAAAAAGAAGAACTATAGAAGAAATAAAAGGGATAAAATTATTAAAAGGGAGGTTAGGAGATCATAAAATATGAGGAGAGCTATTCAGGAATATTACAGAGAATACACAGGGCTTGGGAAAATATCAAGCATATGAAACATCATAGTTCAAATTATTTTATTTTTTTATTACTGGTTCATAACTAGTCTGTGTGGGTTATATCTAGCCTTCCTTTCTCTAGCATCTTGTTTTTGCCTCTCTTAACCTACACTGTCAATCAATAATAAATACACCCTTCTAAAATAGAAATTTAATCATATCTTTAAAAACATGTCTACGTTTATAGGCACCACATCTTAACCAGCTACAATAAACTTGTAATCAGTGCTTCTATTTTCCATACAAGCTGCAATTATCCCCATATTTAACAAAGGCAGGAAAAAAAAAAAAACTATAATCAAAAGTAGCAGAGAAACTATCCTTTTTCTTGGACCAAACCAATCTTGAAAAAGAGGAACAAAACTGGTGGTATCAAGACATACTGTGCAAAGTTGTAGTAATCAAAACAGAATGGTACTCAATGGAACAAAATAGAGAGCCAGAAATAAATCCACACCTTTATGATCAATTGATCTATGATAAAGTTAGTAAGAATATAAATTGGGAAAAAGTCTCTTCAACAAATGGTGTTGGGAAAACTAAACAGCTACATGCAAAAGAATGACACCGGACCCTTTTCTTATACTATATACAAAAATAAATTCAAAATGGATTAAAGATCTAAATGTGAGACCTGAAACCATAAAATTCCTAACAGAAAACATAGGCAGTAATTTCTCTGACATCAGCCATAACAAGATTTTTCTCGATATGTCTCCTTTGGCAAGGAAAATAAAAGCAAAAATAAACAATTGAGACTACAGCAAGGTAAAAATCTTTTGCACAGTGAAGGAAGCCATCAACAAAATTAAGAGCAACCCACTGAATGGGAAAGATATTTTCAAATGACATATTCAATAAAAGGTTAGAATCCAAAATATATAAGAACTTATACAACTCAACATGACAAAAACTAACAAAATCCAATTAATAATTGCACAGAGGACCTGAATAGACATTCTTCCAGAAAAGACATTAGATGGCCAACAGACACATGGAGAGATGTTCAGCATCGCTCATGATCAGAGAAATGTAAATCAGAACCACAATGAGATATCATCTCACACTGGTCAGAATGGTTAATCAGAAACACAAAAAATAACAGTGCTGGCAAAGATGTAGAGAAAAAGGAACTCTTGTGTACTGCTGGGGGAATGCCAGCTGGTATAGCCACTATAGAAAACAGTATGGAGGTTCCTCAAAAACTTAAAAATAGAAATCCTACATGATCCAGTAATTCCACTAGTGGGTTTTTAGCCAAAGAAAATGAAAACACTAATTCAAAAAGATATATGCAGAATTATGTTTACTGCACAATTATTTGCAAAAGCCAAGATAATAGAGGCAACCAAAATATCCATTCAATGAGGAATGGATAAAGAAGATATATATAGGTGTGTGTGTGTGTGTGTGTGTGTGTGTGCGTGTGTATACACAAAAAACAAGAGTCTTAAATATAATGAACAAACCGGTGCTTGCCAAAGGGGAGGTGAGTGGAGGGAATGGGTGAGGATAGGAGAAGAGGATTAAGAGTACACTTGTCCTGATGAGCACCGAGCAATATGCAGAATTGCTGAATCATTATATTGTACAGCTGAAAATATAACACCATGTATTAATTATGCTTGAGTAATAATAAATACACGCACATTCTTTGACACCCTCCCACAGAGAAGTGGAGTTTATTTTTCTTCCCCTTGAGAATGGGCTACTCCTGTGACTGCTTAGCCAACAGAATATGGTAGAAGTGATACCATGCCACTTCTGGGCTTGGCCTTTAGGGAGACTGACAATTTCCAGTTCCTCTCAGGAAATACCCAAAACTTGGCTGGCATGCTATGAGAAACCCATGCCTCAAGGAGAGGCCACATGGAGGTGCTCTGGTCCACAGGGCTGAAGTTCCCAGTGACAGCCAGCATCAACTTCCACCCATGTGATGAGCCATCTTGACCATTCCATCCCAGCACAACACTGTATCCTCAGCCAATATCATGTGGATCCTGAGAACTCCTAAGTCAACTCACAAAACTGTGAGACTTAATAAAACGATTGCTATTTCCAGTCAGTAAATTTTGGGGCAATTTGTTAGAAAAACAGGTAACTGAAACAGAAGCTGTTCTGGCAGTATTTACTGAATGGCAAAATTCCTAAATGTATTTCTCCAAGCAAATCTTTGATGTTCTCATATTTCTATTGCTCATTTTTCATATAACTTCATTACTCCTATTTTAAAAATCACTTTCATATATTTTTTATTTTCAAATCACTTAGTTCTAACATATAGGAAAGCTACCAATATTTTTATTTTATATCTGGCCACCTTACAAAACTCTTAACAGCTGTAATAGTTTTCACAATGAGTTTCTTGGATTTTCTAAGTAGAAAGTTACCATTTACAAATAATAGCCCTTTTTCCTCTTTTCTACTAATTAAAGTTCTCATTTTTTAAAAATTCATTAGTTATGTCTTTCAGGTCAACATAAAATAATTATAGCAACACGCTCATCTATTGATTTTAGTGGAAACACTACTGTTTATCTTTACACCCATGATTTGTTTGCCTTTTGTGCTTAATAGATTTTGAGTAAATGTCTTATTCCTATTAATCCCAAACTCACAAACTATGCTTTACCTATAAGACTTTGTTCTTGTCTCTAATCTGAAACAAAAATGAACACTTTAAACCTTAGCCTATCATCCCAATCCTGGGTATCTGGAGACCAGCCCATGCCAAACCACCTCTGCCTTTCTTTGACCTATCTCAGTGTTCCCCCCAACTTCTCAAATCATTCCAAAGACCTATCTGTGTTTACAGATTAAAATCCACAGGATTCTCTTTTCAAGGTTCTGACTATTTAATTAAGCTGCCCAAAATTTGGTTTTATATTCTCTATCCAAATTTACCTTAAACTGTTTATAATTAAACTTGGATCATTAGCACTTAAATCTAGATGTGCCTCTGATCATCTGATGAGCCTTTAAGTGTGTGTGCATGTATGTACATTCCATGTGGCTATGCTGGGCTTCTCACAAACAGCAATGTCAAGCTAGCTGAAGTAGTGGGTGGTAACTTCCAAGAGAAAGAAGTGGCAGCTACAAATCCTATTACAGGCTAGACCTGGAACCAGCAGTGTCCCCTCTGCTGCACCATATTGATTAAACAGTCCAGTGCTAGCTGAGATTCAAAGGGTGGGGAAACAAAATCTGTATCCTTTTTTTTCCCCTCTAACTGAAGTATAGTTGACACACAATTTGACATTAGTTTCAGGAATACAAAGGTTGCATCTTGATGGAAAGAGTGACAAAGATTCTGGAGCCATCTTTAATCCACTGTAGTCCATTAACTGTTTTAGAAAATAAACTACATTTACCAAGGTAAATTCCAGATTGATTGAAGTATTATATTTAAAGGATGAAATAGATGAAATCAGAATAAAATCAAGAAATATATTTCTAATTTGGGGATGGAAAAATTCTTATGCCTAAAAATAAGAGATATAAAGCATGGGGAGGGTGGGGGGAAGATATGTGATAACATAAATTTAAAAATATGTTTGGCAGACACCATAAAAAAATAATAAAAAACCTCAGCGATATTTCATTTGCCATAACTGTGATCAACAGTGGGAATTTCCATGAGATCTTACCTAAAAACCTCCAAAGTCTTAATAGATAGAGTACATAAAGCCATTCACTGAATCACAAATGACCAAAACAAATAAACTAATTTTACCTTTCTCATAATCCAATATTTACCTATCCAGTTTTTCCCTTTAGTTCCTACAGATGTGCAAAAGCTTGAGATATAAAGGTAGGGCAAAAAGAGACATGTCTCGGGTGCCTGGGTGGCTCAGTTGGTTGAGCGACTGCCTTTGGCTCAGGTCATGATCCCGGACTTCCAGGATCGAGTCCCGCATCGGGCTCTCAGCTCCTTGGGGAGTTAGTTTCTCCCTCTGACCTTCTCCTCTCTCATGCTCTCTCTCACTCATTCTCTCTCAAATAAATAAATAAAATCTTTAAAAAAAAAAAAAAAAAAAGAGACACGGTCTCTACCCTCAGGGAACATAAAGCCTAATGTGGGAGACAAAGACCTATACAGATAAAAGTAAAATATAATTGTGATAAATGCTAAAAAGAGAGGATTATGGTCTTATGGGAGTATATAACAGAAAAAAATGAACCAAGACAGGCTTCCCTAAGGAAATGTGTATCTGAGATCTGAAGGAAGACAAGGAGTCAACTAGGCAAAGAACAAGAGAACGAGCATTTTATGTAAGAAAACCGCATGAACAGAGGCCCTGAGATGGAGGGCAAGCCCCACTTGAGGGACATCTGGAATGTATGTCCTGTGGAATTCTTTTCTCTGAAGTCCTCCAACACCTGTCGGAGTGCTGAGGACACAGGAGATGCTAATACATATTTGATGCTGACTGAAAGCAGAGCAGTATGGTCTGGGTACAAAGAGTGAGGGGAGGATGCAGGGTGAGGCGTGGCTGGGGAAACAGGTGGGGACTACTGTGTTCTGAAGCAGGCAAAACTGCAGTCAGCACAGTGATTTAAGCAAGCATATGACAGAACTTGATCTCTCTTGACTGCAATGTGGCTCAAACACTGGAGTTGGGGAAAAAGAGCGAAGAGGCATGGCAAGATCTTCCTATATGATGAACTGAGAAACTGCAAGGATAGTTGAGATGAGAGATGGTGATGGTACATGGACTAGGATTGTGGCACTACAGATGAAGAGAAGTGGAGACATTCAAGGGATATTTAGAGAGATAAAACCAAGTATTAGAGAGGTGAAGGAGATGAAGTTGTGTCAAGGATAATCACTATACTTGTGTAACTGGATGGATGGCAGTGCCATTTGCTCAGGGAACAATGGAAGAAGACTGGAAAAGAAAAAGTTATGACTTTGGTTTTATAGAACTGGAGTCATCTTTAAGATATCCAAGAGAGGGCACCTGGGTGGCTCAGTGGGTTAAGCCTTTGCCTTCGGCTCAGGTCATGATCTCAGGGTCCTGGGATCAAGCCCCACATCAGGCTCTCTGCTCAGTGGGGAGCCTGCTTCCTCCTCTCTCTTTCTCTGCCTGCCTTTCTGCCTACTTGTGATCTCTCTCTCTGTCAAATAATAAAATCTTTAAAAAAAAAAAAAAAAAGATATCCAAGAGAAATGTCATGTCTGCAGATTTTTCAATTCAGAAAGGAAGCCTGGGCTGGGGGCACAAATTTGTAAGTTGCCTCCATGTGTGTGGTAAGTGAAGCTGCAGTTGTGAATGTGATAACCTAGAGAAGAAAACACAGACTAAGAAAAGATGACAAAATGAGACCACATGTCGAGAAACTCTGAAATTAGAGTTAGAGAAAGAGAAGTCTCCACCAGACAGAGAAAGAAAGGCCAGAAAGAGAGGAGGAAAATCAGAAGCATTGTAAGAACCTACGAGTGTTTTTAAGAGCGAGGAGCAGGTAATGTAAGATAAAGAATAAAAAAATATCACTGGAGTTAGCTACAAGAAAGTCTTCTATGACCTTTAATAAGGACTGTTTCAGATGGAGATGTAGAATAAGAGCTAAACTGGAATGGGTGAAGAACAGAGGGTGAGGAAATGAGAAAAGTACAAAATATTTTGAGAAGACTGGCTATAAAGAGGTGAGAAATAGAGTAACAGGTTGAGAGAAAAAATTTTCAAATCAGTAATGATTTAAAAATGTTGAAAAGCTAATGTGAGGATGAAGTAGAAATGGTAAAAATGTAAGTGAAAGAAGGCAGCGAGAAATGGGGTCCAAAAGAAAAGGGGGGGCAGGGAAATTTACCTTAGAAAGGAAGAAATTGAATAATTAGCCTTTCAAATCAATAAAGATTTTAGGTAAACAAGAGGGTGCTAGGGTGATAATAATAAATAGATAATACATTATTAGTGACAGTACGGATTGGTATAACCTTTCTACAGACAATACAGCACAATGTAACAGGACTTAAACAAATTCATGCCCCTTGATGCTGGAGTTTCTCTTCTAATAAGTATATCCTAAGAGACTTATCAGATGTGCCTGAAAACTTGGCAACAATCTGAATGTCCAACAGCTGGGGGGGACGGTTATATATATTATAATACATGTATATGATAGAACATTACATGTGAATTAGAAACCATGCTTTCATAGACTATTTAGTGACACAGGTAATTGCCCATGGTATCATATTAGGTGAGAAGAGCAGAATATAAAGTCACATATCCCTGATGATCCCAATTTTGGAAAAAAACAAATCTTCACAAGCCACAGAGACACATCATCACAAAGAAAAAAGTCTAAGAAAATAAATCAAAAATGTTAATACTGCACAGCTCTGGGGAGTGAGGTAATGGGGTGAGCTCTATTCCTCTTTAAACTTTTCTACATGTACTAAAATTTACATTAAGCATACAATAATCAACAATCTCCCACAAACAAAATGTTAGTAAGAATTAAGAGATTACATGAAGATAGAAAGGGCACAAGAAGTTCTATAGTAAACGAAGGAAAAATGGAAGATTACTAAAGTCACTCTAGTATAAAGCAGAACATTCTGTTTTCTTTAAAAGAAAGAATATGATTTCCTGTTGGGTTAGCTAATGTTTGTTTACATAGCACTTACCACATGCTAGGCACTGTTCTAACTGTGCTACACACATGACTCACTTAAGCCTCACAGGAACATGGAGGTAAGTACTGTAATAAACTCCATGTTACAGATGAGGAGACTGGCAGGTAGGTTGCTCCGGACCACACAGCTTTATTTTTATTTTTTTTTTAAGATTTTTTTTTTTATTTATTAGAGAGAGAGAGGTCACAAGTAGGCAGAGAGGCAGGCAGAGAGAGAGGAGGAAGCAGACCCCCCGCTGAGCAGAGAGCCCGATGCGGGGCTCGATCCCAGGACCCCGGGATCATGACCCGAGCCGAAGGCAGAGGCTTTAACCCACTGAGCCACCCAGGCGCCCCCGGACCACACAGCTTTAAAGGTGTCTGTGTTCCTCACCTACATTCTTTTGCCTATCCACCAAGGGAAAAGAATCTGTGAACGAAAGGCAATGGTGACTTTTCCCCTTCAAAGCCTGGGCGGTTTTGTCATCACCTCCCTGACTCTTACTCTAAGGCTGTTAACAGTACACTGTGTATTTGATAAACAGAAGCTTCTTACAGCTGCCTTGTATCTGCCTGGTTCTTACCCAAAACAGATGTGCTTGGGATTTTGTGCTCCACTGTCCATCTTCTTTCCTTACTCTCCAACTTGGAGATCTCAACTGGCTTGGAAAATAGATGTTCTGTTCATGCGGAAAATGAAAAAAAAAAAAAAAAAAAACAACAAAACAGACACCTCAGCCATTTTTAAAGGGAAGAGATTCCATTCCTCTGTAGTCTAAGAGCCTCTGAAAGGCTAGCAGTCACCACGGATCTGTGAATGTCTAGCTTTCCATTAGGAAGGACTTCCACTCAGATACACAACAGGAAAACGTGTTATTATGCCCAAAGGATATTAGGAAACCTGAACCCAAACCCAAGTACCCTTAACCACTGCAGTCGTCCTCTGGTTTTTAGCAGCAGATGAAGAGACTACTGACAGGCAGAGGAGGTAAATACACAGAAACCACCTTGATACAACGAATTCAGGTTCCTATAGTTCTCCAGCATCACATCCCTGTGCAGAGTCTTTATAGCAGGGTCCAGTTGTCCCCACTCTTCCTCGTTGAATTCCACAATCACATCTTTGAATGTCACTGGTTCCTAAAACATTAAATTCCTTTGTAACCAAAGGTCACTCCCAAAAATATTACCAGAGGAGAAATGAATTAGGAAAGAATAGGGTAGATCATCAGAATATGTAAGAAACTGACAAATGTTTGGGGTTCTAAGTGATGAAAATCAAGTTATACTCGAGGCCTATCAACTTGGTATTCTGTGAGGGCTACAAAAGGAAATCAAATGCAGTCCTAACCCTCAATTAACTTTTATTTTGGTTGAGAAAAAAAAAAGTTGCAAAAATCTGGAACAAAAAATTACTATAGAGTAAAAATATCTGCCATAGAAGGAGTTCAGAACAAAAAGAGTTTTGGATAGATGTGAGGGGAATTTGTAATGAAGATGGAGACTCCGCTAGCAGAAGAGGTAGGGCATTTTCTCTAACTGAGAAGGGCAGCCTGCTAACTCCTTCCCAGGCCGGTCAGCCAGTCCTTTCCTGACTACCCAAGATGAAGTAGCCACCCTCCTCATCAGTCTCTACTGCACTGTTTCTTTTCTTTGTAATAATTATTACTATCTGCAATTATCTTACTTCCCTGTGTGTGCCTGTCTGCCTCGACTGTCATTTCCACAAAGGATTTCCTTTCATTTATCATCATATTCCTGGCCCTTAGCAGTGGTATATCAGACCCTGCACAGGTATTTCTCATGAGGGCCTTCACATCATCACCTGTTGCACTTCCCTCTTTAGCATTCCCAAGCTTGTCATAACAGGCACCTTTAGTCACAGTGAAATACACAAATATCTTCCCTCCCTGTGCCTCAGAGCCAGATGACTCCACAACATCAGATGACATGAGAAAATCATCTACATTAGTTTGCCCACTTCCTCACCTTCTTCCCTCAACCCTCTGCAACCTGACTTCTATTAGTATCTTCATGATAGTAAGGGAATAAGCCCCACTCAGGCTGGATTTTCCTGAATTTTTTAAAGGATTTATCCTTGCAAAATTCTCCTCTTTGCCTTTCAGTGACATCGTATCTTCCTGGTTTTCTTCTACCACTTTGATGCTTTTATTTCAGTATCCTTTGGGATTTCTCCTGCTCCTGCCTATTCAATGACATTACTCAGGACTCTGCCCTTGGCTCCCCTCACATTTAATTCTAAACATTCTCTGGTGGGCTCTATTTCTATGGCTTTGATTATTGTCTATTAAACCAGAGGGAGCAGATGCACAGAAAAATACAAGGATTAAATATTTTCCAGAGTGTATCATTAACTAAAATAAAACAGATCCAATGTCCTATGGCAGAAATAACAGTCTTACATCCTTAGATGGACTATATTTAGCAAAAGCTCAAAAGCCGAAAAAGAAAAAGCAGATCATTTCAGTAAAGAGTAGGATCCGAATTCACCTGGGAATCGCCAGTTAGTGAGTCAGATTCCATTTTCTCCTTGATGCTCCCCTTCTGGAGGACAGAATCCTTGCAGGGTAGCTCTGAGAAAGATGAAAGAAAACGTTAGGGAGACATGATTTGTCCTGGAGAAACATTTAATGATTATAGTAGTAGTTCTAACATACTATTCATAGGAATCATCTTCAGAGCTTTGGAAAAATAACGATGTCAGGCCCTACCAGCAATCAAAATCTCCAACGGTGGGGCTCAGATATTATAGTTTTTAAAAACTCTAAAAATGATTCTGATACTCTACCAGAGGTTGAGAAATATTGGATCAGGGTGAAGAAGGCCAAACTAATATTTTGAGGCTTCATCTGTGGTTGTAGCAGATTCCAAAAGAAACTTGAATTCTGTCCTAACTAAAGTCTACAGCTTTGCAGTAAGTTTTGACATTGAAAGTATGCATCCTTAACTTTTATTCTTTGTCAAGGCTGTTGTGAGTATTTGGAGTCCTTTGTATTTTCATATGAACTTTAGGACCACCTTGTCTGTTTCTGCAAAAAAAGGTAACTAGAGTTTTGCTATGAATTGCATTCGAACCTGCAGAGTGCTTTATGGAGTATTATCATCTTAACAACATTAAGTCACCCAATACATGAACACAGACTGTCTTTTTAAAATTATTATTTTAAAATTATTTTTTAATGGGAAAAAAAAAAAAAAAAGGTAGGTAACCCAGTTCAAGAGATTCCAAGGGCTGCTGATGGGCTCTGCAGGCCTCTCGGGGTACTCAAATGGCAGTAGGTGTGAACTCTGAACCAGTCGTCTTCCTTTCGACTTGTGGATACTGGGATAGGCAGTTGTAAATAGATGCCTTATGGCTTTTGCTATGAAATCTTAAAAAAAAAAAAATCACATAAAAGTGACTTATGCATTTTAAACCCATGTTGTTCAAGGATAAACTGCCTAAGAATAGATCACATGACTGTAAAGATAGCTTTACTTCTTCCTTTCCAATTAGGATATTTTTAGTTGTACTAGCTAGTACCTCCAGTATAATGTTGAACAGAAGTGGCCAGAGTGGGCATCCTTGTCTTGTTCCTTATTCTAAGGGCAAAGCTTTCAGTCTTTAACCATTAGGTAAGATGCTTCCTATAGGTTTTTCACAGATGCCCTTTATCAGGTAAAAGAAATTCTCTTCTAATCCTAGTATGTGAGTGTTTTTATCATGAAAGGGCACTGGATTCTGTCAAATGCTTTTTCTGTATCAAGAGGACCTTGTGGGCACCTGGGTGACTTAGTCTGTTAAGTGTCTACCTTCAGCTCAGGTCATGATCTCGGGGTCCTGGGATTGAGTCCCACAACAGGCTCCTTGCTTAGCGGGGAGTCTGCTTCTCCCTCAGCCTCTCCCTCTGCCCCTCTCCTCAACTTGGGCACGCTGTACTCTAATAAATAAAATCTTATTAAAAAAAAAAAAAGAGGACCTTGTGATTTTCCCCGATTAGAATGGTGTATAATATTTATTTTCATATGTTGAACCATCCTGTATTCCTGGGAAAAATCCCATTTGGTCATGGTGTATTATCCTCTTAATATGCTGCTGGATGTGGCTTGCTAGTTTTCTTTTCTTGTGAGGTCTTCGCCTGGCTTTGGCATCAGGTTAAAACTCATCATCAATAAGTTAGGAAGTATTCTTTTTTTCTTGGTCAGTGTAGTTAAGTCTTTGTCAATTTTATTTTTTCAAATGACCCACTTTGTTTCATTGATCCTGTTGTTTTTCTATCCTCTATTTCATTTATCTCTGCCTAATCTTTTTTAAATTTCTACATATTTATGAATTTTCCAGATTTCTTTTTTTTTTTAAATATTTTATTTATTTGACAGAGATAGAGTGCAAGAGAACACAAGCAGGGGGAGCAGCAGAAGGAGAGGGAGAAGCAGGCTCCCCACTGAACAGGGATCCCAATGTGAAGCTCCATTCTAGGACCCTGGGATCATGACCTGAGCCAAATCAAAGGCAGACTCTTAACCAACTGAGCCACGCAGGCGTCCCTTTAGAGTTCCTTCTATTACTGATTTCTAATTTCATTCTCTTGTGGTCAAAAAAGATACTTTGTATGATTTAAATGTTTAAATGAATTGTCACTTGTTTTGGCCTAACATTTGGTCTACCCTGGAAAATATTCCATGTGCATTTGAAAAGAATATACATTCTGCTGTTGTTGGATAGAGTGCTTATATATTTGTTAGGTCTAACTTGGTTATAGAGTAGTTAAAGTCTTCTATTTCCTTTTTCGTCTTTCTTCCTGTTCTATTCACTAATGAAAGTGGGGTGCTTAAGTCTCCAGCTATTATTCTTGATCTATTTCTCCCTCATTTTTGTCAATTTTTGTGGGCCTGTTTTAATTCTTGTTCATCACTGACTTACTTTTTTTAACTTATTTGTAACATCTATATTCTTTGTTGTGTGTACCCACTTAAGTCTGTTCCCTTAGCTTAGTGGTCAGCTAATGATTCCTAAGAGATTTCCTTAGCTACCTGGAATCAAAACAGAACAGAACAGAACAGAACAAAACAAAACAACCACAAACAAAAGTCATTTCCTAGTCTTTGAAGATGGGCTGCAGGTGCTGCAAGTGTTGAGACTTGCCTTCAACACTTAGCCAGATAATTTTTCAACATTACCTTAGTCTTTAGTTTCTGTTTATGCAAAGCTTGAAGGTCAGCCAGAGGTGAGAGTTAAGTAAGGCCTTATCAGGTCTTTCTGAACATGTACCCAGCCTTCTAGATCTCTAGGAGTATGTAAGAACTTTTCCAAAAACCTTATTCCCCAAAGCATCTCATACCCCTCAGCCTTTCCTCCCAATCCTTTTGTGTTCACTGTCTTAGGTGGGAGAGGCTAATACGTTTCCCATTAAATGCTTTGACAAATGCTGCCCAGGTGGCCACCTCTGCCCTGGGAGAGTTCTGACTCAGAAAAAACAAGGGCAAGCCCTTTGGGTGGGTTCTTTAGTGAGCCAAGACAGGTTAAAACAAATTAAAAACCTTCCTCAGTCCTCTATTACCTGGCAACCTCTCCTTTCCTTCTCAACCAGACTTCAAGAATAGTCTATAATCATTATCACATTCACACCTTAGCCATCCATCTCTTTTTGGTGGTCGTGGTGGTGGGGAGTATGTATGTGATAGGGAGAATAATAGACCCCGGAGATACACACCCCTAATCCTTGGATACACTGGCAAAAGGGATTCAGCAGATATGATTAAAGTTAAGGACCTTGGAGATGAGGAATCACCCTTTATGATTTGGGTGATCACAATCTAATCACATGAATCCTAAAAAACAGGTTTCCCAGCTGTGGTCAGGGTAAGTGAGAGGGGGAGAGAGAGCAACCATGCTCTAAGCAAGTGCATGTACTGTGACAACAGAATAGAGGGTAAGAGAAAGCAGTGTGGAAAGGACATGGCTCACCATTGCAAGCTTTGAAGATGGGTGAAAGGAATCATGAGGTCCAAAAAGGAATGCAGTCCTATTGATGCCTTGATTTTTGTTCAGGGAGACCCATTTTGGACTACTGACCTGCAGACCTGTAGAATAATACATTCACTAACTTTGTGCTCATTTGTTATGGCAGCAATAGAAAACCAACATAACTAACTACCAAGCACCACCTCAACTCCTTCTCTGAAGCTGTTCTAAAGCTTAACAATTACTTCATAATCAACAATTTCACTAAATTGCTTTCAATACTCATCTTTTTTAAGCTTTTTAAAAAAAGATTTTATTTATTTATTTGAGAGAGAAAGAGAGAGAGAGCATGAGAAGAGGGAGGATCAGAGGGAGAAGGAGACTACCTGCCCAGCAGGGAGCATGATGTGGGACTTGATACTGGGACTCCAGGATCATGAACTGAGCTGAAGGCAGTCACTTAACCAAATGAGCCACCCAGGCACCCTCAATACTCATCATAATAGGAGAACCTTTTTGTCATACCAGTGTTGATACTCCCTTCTTGAATATTTCTCTTTTCCTAGCTCAAGATGCTAACATTTCCTGGTTCTCTGATGTCCCAGATTATGCTTTCTAGCCTGCTTGCCTGGCTTTTCTTCTTCTGTTTAATCTTTTATTTCTTTTTCAAATAAGGACTAAATATAGCTATAATGTCATCACTCTCCCCAGCCAATAATTCCTTGTCAAATATTCAATCAACTGCCTCATGACTTATAAGGTTCACACACCCTCTTGATTTGTTATACATCTTTTACATTTAATTTCTAAATCCCTTGTCCGTATCACCACTTCTCCCTTAAGATTATTTTGTTGTAGAGAAGTGCCTGGGTGGCTCAGCTGGTTAAACATCCAACCTTTGATTTCGGCTCAGGTCATGACCCCAGGCTCATGAGATGGAGCCCCATGTTGGGCTCATGAGATGGAGCCCCATGTTGGGCTTCTGCTCAGTATTGAGTCTGCTGGAGATTCTCTCTTCCTTTCTGCTTGCTTGCGCATGTGTGCTCTCTCTAAATAAGCAAAATCTTTTTTAAAAAAAATAAAATTAGGGGCGCCTGGGTGGCTCAGTCATTTAAGCGTCTGACTTCGGCTCAGGTCATGATCCCAGGATCCTGGGATCAAGCCCCGCATCAGGCTCCCTGCTTGGCAGGAAGCCTGCTTCTCCCTCTCCCATGCCCCCTGCTTCTGTTCCCTCTCTCACTGTGTCTCTCTCTGTCAGATAAATAAATCTTTAAAAAATAAATAAATCAAATCATTGTTTTAGAAACTAGATTGTCTTGTAGTTTCCCAGAGTTTAGATTTTACTAATGGCATTCCCATGATATGATTTAACATGTTCCTCCATCCTCTGTATTTCCTGTAATGGGCGGTTAGATCTATGACAGACCTTAAATACTGATGCTCCCTAACGATATGTATTTTTCCTACTTCTATTCACACCTGTAAATTTCCAAACCTATAGAGATCTCAAATTCAACATGCCACATAACTACTGTATAAATCCCCTCCCATAACATCTGCTACTTGTGCCCTATTCATGTGTGGCAGAACATGCACATTTACATCAAATCTTACCCCTACTCACATCTTATATGCAGCCCATAATTCCTTCAGGTGCAAATTCCTGTTTTCCCAATACTCCCACATTCTTTAACACCTCATCTATCTTAACTCATTTTCCTGTTTTCAGAGTCATCAGGTCTATCCCTTAAACAAGATGCTGATAAACTTTTTCTGTGAAGATCCAGATAGCAACTATTCTGGGTTTGCAGGCAATATAGTCTCTGCTATAGCCAATCAACTCTGCTCATAGCATGAAATCAACTGTAGACTAAAAGTACATCAGTGGGCATGGCTGTGTTCCAAAAGCACTATCTCCAAAAACTTTTGGTTTGGTGGCCATAGTTTGCCAACCACCTACTCCATATTGATATCAAAATGATATTTTAAAAGGCAAATCAAATCGTTTTACTCCCCTACCCATGCTGTGAGATCTCATTCTCTACTTTCATTTCCTACAAAATAAAACCTGTGCTTCCTGATATAGTAAAGTCCTTCATGATCTGGCCCTTGACACCCTCTAGCTTCAGAAAAAGATAATTTCTTTTCATATGGAAAGAGTCAGTTACTCTTTTTTTAAGGTTCTTTTTTTTCTTTTTAACTGATGTATAATTGACATATAACATCCTACAGTTGACCCTTGAACAACAAGAGTGGTCAGGGACACCAACCTCCTGAGTAGTTGGAAATCGGCATATAACTTCTGACTCCCCCAAAACTTAACCACTAATAGCCTACCACTGACCAGAAGCCATACCAAAAACATGAGCAGTCTAATGCATATTTTTTATATGTATTACATACAGTAAAGTGAGGCAGAGAAAAGAAAATGTTAAGAAAATCATAAGAGAAAATACATTTACTGTACTGTGCTATAATTTATTGAAAAACACCCATGTATAATTGGACCCACACAGTTTAAAACCATGTTGTTCATGGGTCAACTCTATTAGCTTCAGGTGAACAACATAATGATTCAATATTTAATGTATATTACAAAATGATCACCAAAGTAAGTCTGTTAACATCTGTCACCACCTATAGTTACAAAAATTATTTTTTTGTAATGAGTGCTCTTAAGATCTAATGTCTTTTTTTTTTTTTTTTTTTAAAGATTTTGTTTATTTATTTGACAGACAGGAATCACAAGTAGGCAGAGAGGCTGGCAGAGAGAGAAGGAAGCAGGCTCCCCTCGGAGCAGAGAGCCTGATGCGGGGCTCAATCCCAAGACCCTGGGATCATGACCTGAGCTGAAGGCAGAGGCTTTAACCCACTGAGCCACCCAGGCGCCCCTTAAGATCTAATGTCTTAACAACTTTCAAATATGCAATACAGTATTATCAACTATAGTCACTATCCTGTACATTACATCCCCATGACTTATTTATTTTATACCTGGAAGTTTCTATACTTGTGACCCTCCACCCATTTTGCCCATCCTTCACCTCCAGCAACCAATCTGTTCTCTGTATGTACGAGCTAATTTTTCCTTTTTTTTTTTTGGATTTCACGTAAAGGTCAATAATAATAATAATAATTCTACTGCCAATTTTCTACATTCTCACCTTCATCTTTAAGCATTTCAATCACATCCTCTATGAGGGACACCACTTCTTTGCTGTTCTTTGGATGCTGTAAATTCACCCAAGTCCTGATGTCTTCAGGGAGAATTGTCAGAAATTGTTCTAGCACTAACAGCTCTAGGATCTGCTGCTTTGTATGAATGTCTGGTCTCAGCCACTGAAGACAGAGCTCCCAGAGTTGACACAGGGCTTCATGAGGCCCAGACACTGCGAAATACTGGAAATGTCTGAACTTTTGACGAGAGGCCTCAGAGTCATATGTTTCCATGACTGGGATGGATTCCTGCTGCCAGGACACTTCTGCTTTTAGGGCTTCACTTTGTTCACGTCGAATCAGGTTTTGAGGTTTTGAGATAGCCATCAACTTGTTCAGAGGCTGCATCTTCCTAGACAGAACTCCCACTGTAGTTTGAATCTGTCTAACTGGAGGATTCTAGTAATTCTCGGGCTTGGGCTAAGCATTTGTGTACAATATATGTGCAATGTGATTTCAGCCAAGTTCTATCTCAATAAGAGAAAAATTCCAGGAGCTTCAGCCAACAATCAGGTACCTGAGAGAATGAAAAAAGACACCAATATGACCTATATTTAATGAACACATATTAGCATAGTGTTAAAAGATATTATAATACAAATAATATTCTTAAAAATTGTCTAATAAATATTATAAGTTATCATTCCATTCTTGTTTCCCATTTTTTAAAAAGATTTTATTTATTTATTTGACAGAGAGACAGAGATCACAAGTAGACAGAGAGGCAGGCAGAAGGGAAGGGGGATGCAGGCTCCCTGCCCAGCAGAGAGCCCCATGTGGGCCCGATCCCAGGATCCTGAGATCACAACCGGAGCCAAAGGCAGAGGCTTAACCCACTGAGCCACACAGGTGCCCCTTGTTTCCCATTTTTGTAACAAGAAAATATACTATCTCTTTCCCCTTATCACCCACCAAAAAGACAGAAAACACAAACATCACACAAAAAGTGATAAATGAAACAGTCCTTTTAAAACAAACCTCATAATTTAAGTGCAATTAGATTTTTCCTGCACCAGGTGACAACATATTTTTGCTTATTTTAAATTTTATTTGTCTATTTAATAGAGAGAAAGAGAGAGAACACAAGCAGAGGAAGCGGGGGGGAGAGGGAGAAGTAGACTCCCCGCTGAGTAGGGAGCCCAACATGGAGCTGGATCCTAGGACCGTGGGATCATGACCTGAGCCAAAGGCAGACACTTAACCAACTGAGCCACCTATGTGCTCCAACACATTTTTGCTTTAAAACTAAGCAAAACACATCTTCAGAAGGATATTCAAGTTATTAAGGCTTTACACTAGTGATGCCTAAAAAGCAAATTCTCACTAAAATATCAATAAGATTATATAAAATGAATAAAATTGGAATACCACCAGAAATTAAGTTAAGAAACAATTATTTAAAAAAGTAAGAGAATAAATACGAGTCATTTCATTGCCAGAGAAAAATCTAAACGTACATTTCAATGACACAGAAATGGTTAGAGAGGGGTGCCTGGGTGGCTAAGTTGGTTAAAGCCTCTGCCTTCTGCTCAGGTCATGATCCCGGGGTCCTGGGATCGAGCCCCACATTGGGCTCTCTGCTCAGTGGGGAGCCTGCTTCCCTTCCTCTCTCTGCCTGCCTCTCTGCCTACTTATGATCTCTGTCTGTCAAATAAATAAATGAAAAATCTAAAAAAAAAAAAAAAAAAAGAAATGGTTAGAAAGCCAGGAAAAAACTCCATACCTATATGGTTAATTAATCTATGATAAGTGAGGCAAGCATACATGATGGGGAAAGGACAGTCTCTGCAATAAATGGTGCTAGAAAACTGGACAGCTACATGCAAAAGAATGAAACTGGATCACTTTCTTACACTATATACAAAAATAATCTCAAAATGATAAAATAAGAGACCAGAAACCATAAAACTCATAACAGAAATAAAGGCAGTAATTTCTCGGACATTAGCAACATGTCCGAGACCTTAGCAACACATTTATGGATATGTCTCCTTAAACAAGAAAAACAAACGCAAAAATAAACTATTGGGACTACATCAAAATAAAAACTTTTGCATGGTAAAGGAAACCATCAACAAAACAAAAAGGCAACCTACTGAATGGGAGAATATATTTGAAAATCACATATCTGATAGGCAGTTAATATCCGAAATATATAAAGAATATCTACAATTTGAAACACACACACAATCAAAAAAATGGGCAGAGGACCTGAATAGACATTTTCCCAAAGAAGATATATGAATGGCCTATAGCTACATGAAAAGATGCTCAACATCACCAATCATCAGGAAATGCAAATCAAAACCACAATGAGCTATCATTTCAGACCTGTCAGAAAATGGCTAGTATCAAAAAGACAAGAAATAACAAGTGTTGGTAAGAATGTGGAGAAAAAGGAATCTTGTATACTGCTGGTGGGAATGTCAACTGGTGCAACCACTGTGGAAAACAATACAGAGGTTTGTCAAAAAATTAAAAACAGAAATAGGACATGATCCAGTAATTTCACCACTGGGTATTTAACTGAACAAAATGAAGACAGTAATTTAAAAAGATATATGTACCCCTATGTTTATTGAATTATTTACAATAGCTAAGATATGAAAGCAACCCAAGATGAATGGATAAAGAAGAGGTAGTATGGGGTGCCTGGGTGGCTCAGTGGGTTAAGCCTCTGCCTTTGGCTCAGGTCATGATCCCAGGGTTTCTGGATCGAGCCCCGCATTGGGCTCTCTGCTCCGCAGGAAGCCTGCCTCCACCTCTCTCTCTGCCTGCCTCTCTGCCTACTTGTGATCTCTGTCTGTAAAATAAATAAATAAAATCTTTAAAAAAAAAAAAAAAGAGGTAGTATACATATACAATGGGATATCACTCAGCCATTAAAAAAAAGGATGAGATCTTGCTGTATGCAACAACATGGATGGATCTAGAGGATATTACACTAAGTGAAATAAGAGAGAAAAATAAATACTGTACAATTTCACTTACATGTGGATCTAAAAACCAAAACAAATGAACGAACAAACAAACCAAAAAGACTCTTAAATATGGTGGTTGCCAGAGTGGAGGTGAGTGGGGGGATATGAAAAATAAAGGGAATTAAGAAGTACAAATTTCAGTTACAAAATTAGTCACAGTGATGAGAAGTACAGCATAAGGAATATAGGTAGTAAACTGTAATAACCTATGATGACAGATGGTAACAACACTTATAGTGGTGAGCATTTTAAGTACTGTATAGAACTGTAGAATATGTTGTATACCTGAAACTAATATTGTATGCTAATTTTACTTCAATTAAAAAAAAGTACATTCCAAGATTATAATGATTAGGAGTTTTCATTTGTTAGGACTCACTATGGGCCAGTCTGCAATGTTCACTATGGAAGTTATAGGCTCAACTAAACATTTAGGCTCAGAAGACTACACGGGCCATATTTGGTACTAATTCATTCAGAAGGCCACTGGAGAGAAAATACAGCTTGCTAGCAGAGTAACTGGCATTGTTCTTCAGTGGGAGTCCTTATAGGGTATAGCCAAGTCAAGAGATCCACAGAGGTTGTGCAAAAAGCATATGGACTGAAAAGCCTTCCCAAAAGAGCCAGTATCTTTTTTTTTTTTAAGATTTTATTCATTTATTTGACAGAGATCACAAGTAGGCAAAGAGGCAGGCAGGGAGAGAGGAGGAAACCCGATGTGGGACTCGATCCCAGGACCCTGGGATCATGACCTGAGCTGAAGGTAGAGGCTTTAACCCACTGAGCCACCCAGGTGCCCCTGAGCCAGTATCTCTTTTAACAACTCTGAACAGAGCACTCATTGTTGCCCAAAGAGCTAGTCAAATTATAAGAGTCATTACACTCAGGGAAGTTCAGATACAGCTTTTTACCCAATTTACAATTCTCCAAGTATGGATGCAATTCAATTTTCAGCGTTCATTTTATCACGCTTCTCTAAGCGAGGGGTTTTCATGAGCAATTTGATACCGAGGAAATCTGACAATGTCTGGAGACAGTTTCAGCTGTCACAACTGGGGGCTCTTATAGGCACCCATTGAGAGAAGCCCAGCGATCCTGCTAAACATCTTACAATGCACAAGACAGTGCTCTACAATGGAGAATTATCCAGCCCAAAGTGTCAGTAATTCCAAAGTAAAGAAACCCTGCTATAGAGGATACATAGTGACTAAGAGTACATACTTGGGAGTCATACTGACATGATGTTAAATCCCAGCTGTACTAGTTACTACATATACGAACTTAAGCAAATTATCTAACCAAACCTGAGTTTTCTCAACTGTAACATGGATATAAAAATACCTGTCTGATTGAATTATAGGGATTAAAAGAACCCTCATCCACTTCTTGGCAGATAATATGTAATCAATATCCATTTTATTGAGTTTTTTTTTTTAATCATAAATGGATGTTGAATTTTGTCAAATCATTTTTCTGCATCTATTGAAATTATGTGATTTTATTTTTCATTTTCTTAATGTTGTGTATCGCATTGACTGATTTGCAGATATATTTGCAAATCATATCTGGTAAGAGATTAATACCCAAAATATATAAAGAACTCCTACAACTTAATAACAAAAAAGAAATCTGATTTTAAAATAGGCAGAAGATTTTAATATTTTCCCAGAGAAGACATCTGAACATTTTTCCAAAGAAAACATACAGATGGCCAACAGATACATAAAATACGCTCAACATCACTGATCATCAGGCAAAACCAAATCAAAACCACAATAAGGCATCACCCGACACCTGCAAGAATGATTATTATGAAAAAGACAAAACATAACAAGTGTTGCTGAGGATATGGAGAAAAAGGAACCCTTGTACACTGTTGATGGTGGTGTCAATTGGTGCAACCACTCTGGAACAGTATGGAGGTTCCTTAAAACAGTAAAACAGAACTACCCTATATCCAGCAACTCCACTTCTGGGTACTTATCCAAAGAAAATGAAAACACTAACTGGGAAAGATATATACACCCTCATGTTCACTGCAGCACTGTTTACAATAGCCAAGATATGAAAACAACCTAAATGTCCATCAACAGATGAATGGATAAAGGAATTTATTTACACACACACACACACAGAGGAATATTATTCAGCTATAAAAAGAATAAAATCTTACCATTTGCAACAACATGGATGTACTTTAAGGGAATTATGATGTGAAATAAAGTCAGAGAAAGAAAAATACTGTCTGATTTCTCTATGTGTAATCTTAAAAACAAACAAATATAGAAGTTCAGAGAACAACCTGGTGGTTGCTAGAGAAGAGTGGTAGGTGGAGAAATGGGTAAAGGGGGTCAAAGGTCTCCCAGATCTCAAATTTTAATACCATTCTTCAATACAAGGAACCGTGGCTCCATGGAGAAATGACTTATTCTAGAACTGGAGCAAGAAATATACAAGATGGGGACGCCTCGGTGGTTCAGTTGGTTAAGTGTCTGCATTTGGCTCAGGTCATAATCTCCGGGTCCTAGAATAGAGCTCCACACCAGGTTTCTGGCTTGGCGGGGGGTGGGGGGTGGGGGGGGCGAGGGGGTCCTTCTCCCTCTGCCTCTCCCTCTGTCCCTCTCCCTGACTTCTGCCGTCTCTCTCTCTCAAACACACACACACACACACACACACACACACACACACACACGGTGGGCTTGGAGCATCATGAAGTGCTTGAAAATAGATAAGAGCTCAAAAACCATTTACTGGGGAATGTACAAGGTAAACAGGAGCAAAAGGAAAGAGCTATCAATGGCCAAAGCTGAAACAATATGAGCAATAACTGAAACTATAAAATTAATATCCATAAGCTACACTAATATACATGACTGACTCAACCAATAAATAAATGGGGGAAAAACAGACCAATCTCTCATGCAGAATTCCAAATAATTTGTGTAGATACTCAGCCCTCCAGGAGGAGGAGCATAACTCTCCATCCCTTGAGATTGGGCTCTGCATAGTGAATCCCTTCCAGAGTAAATATGGGAAGAAGGAAAAAGAATAAATTTATAGTGGAGAAACCTAAAAAATATACTTCAGCTACGTGATCAAAGTTACATCAATAATGACAGGTCATGTTACAGTATGTCCCTCTGAGATGATGTGGTAGAAAGATTTGCCTTCCCCAAACCCATAACCCCAGTCTAATCATGAGAAATTCTAACAAATTCTAATAGATGGGTTTCCTACAGTATACCTGACCAGTACTCCCCAAAACTATAAAGGTCATTAAAAACAAGTCTCAGAAACTGTCACAGCAAAGTCGACCCTAAGGAGATATGACAACTAAATGTAATATGACATCCTGGGTGGGATGCTGAATCAGAAAAAGGACATTAGGCAAAAATTAAAGAAGTATGATTTAAGTATGGACTTCAGTTAATGGATCTAATTAACAGATATAATTAACATACTGATTTGTTACTAATAGGGGAAATGGGTATGTGGTATATGGGAACTCTTTGTACTATATTCTCAATTTTTCTTTCAGTCTGAAATTGTTGTAAAATAAAATTTTTATTAAAAAAATTAAAAGACACTTGCCTGATGTATAGAGATTCAAAAGGATGTGTGGTAAATTTATGAAACAGAATTAGGGAGCCATTTAGTAAAATAGGATGAGATTAAGGTAAATTCTAAAATGGATTAAGAGACAGGCAATCTTGGGGCAGCTGGGTGGCTCAGTGGGTTAAGCCTCTGCCTTCAGCTCGGGTCATGATCTCAGGGTTCTGGGATCAAGCCCCATGGCAGGCTCTCTGCTTGGTGGGGAGCCTACTTCCCCCTCTCTCTGCCTACTTGTGATCTTTCTCTCTCTCTTTGTCAAGTAAATAAATAAGATCCTAAAAAAAAAAAAAAAGAGACAGGCTATCTTGATTGGAAGGAGTAAAGAACAAAAAGGGATACTTCATTGAACCAGTGATATGAGAGACAAATCTAAAAGTCTCTTCCAAAATGCTGAGATAAGGGAACAAAATCTTATGGTGAAAAACAAATTAAAATTGTTTTCTACAGTTTCTTAAAAACTGTTTCTCTCCATTCGCCATCTTGTACAGATATATTGGCACCATTTATACACTCATTAGTACCCCCATTATATCTCCACCAGACACAGAACTAAGTGTATCAAATGAAGGAAGATTTTGAGATCCAACACAAACCTTCTCTAAGCTTATGGAAAGCATGGTTCATTAAAAAAGAAAAAAGAAAAAAGAAGTTTCAAAGTGCTACAGAGGTATCATGGGGTCCCACCAAAGAATAAACTATATGCCCACTTTTTAAATTACTATCAAGGGAGAAAGAAGGGAAAAAAGCTCACAGGCAAATGATAAAAATAAAATGAAACACCAAGGAAGCACAGAAATTTAAAAAATTAAAGCTAGAAATAGTAACAATGATATCCACTGTAACAGTAAATGTACTGGATAAATAATTTCACTGTATAAACACTCAAAAGACATCCAAAACAAAAGAACTGGAAAGAGGAAAATAAAAGGGATGATTTAAAACATAATAAACAGGGGCGCCTGGGTGGCTCAGTGGGTTAAAGGCTCTGCCTTCAGCACAGGTCATGATTCCAGCGTCCTGGGATGGGATGGAGCCCCACATCTGGCTCTCTGCTCCGCAGGGAGTCTGCTTCCCCTTTTCTCTCTGCCAGCCTCTCGGTCTACTTGTGATCTCTCTCTCTGTCACATAAATAAATAAAATCTTAAAAAAATAATAAACAATTATGCAGGCATATAATGATTTAAAAGCACAAATGCATGAAAGTAGATGAAAAGGAAACTTTAAATGACTGAAGGTACAACTTATAATCAAATAGGACTTGTTAAATGTACCAATAACATAATTGGAATGTATTTATTGCAAAATCCTCAGAAAACAAAAGATGAAATCAACACTCTCCCCCACCCCCGGGAAATGGGACTAAGGCAACTTTCTAAATCCTAAACACATAAACTAAAATTAAGTAATAATATGGTATACACGAAATTTGCTTAGTGATATATAAAACACGACAATGCAGTTTCTATTCCAGCAGCTATGAAAATATTTACAAAAGTTACTATATCACTTACAAAAAACCTCAAATACAAAGTATCTACCAGTGCTACCGACCACACTTACTATCAGAATGAAACCTAGAATTTAACACAAGTAAAAAACATCCTCAACTAATTTGAAACTTAAACTTTGCATCAAAGTACAACTCAAATAAAAAGCAATAAAAACACTGGACATCAAAATCCATAGAGCACAGCTTAAGTTCCACCGTTAGGCAATGTCAAAGCCTTACAACCATATTTAAACAAGAATGAAATGAATTAAACATTCAACTCAAAGTGAGAAAAAGCAAGAAAATATACTGGGAATTTATACCTTAAAATATAAATTAATACCTCACTCGGTATCAGTAATTATAGTACTAGGAGGACAGAGATGTTCAGGAGGACATCTCTGAGGAGGATTTCAAAAAGGGACAGTCTGGATGATAGAAGGTCCAAGGAATGGCTGTGACTGCGAGAAGCTTCAGTGGTCTGTGAGGTGAGCGACGCACACTGGAATAAACGAAGTCAAGAACGGTTCGAGTTTAACCTCTGAAGTACTGAGGACGCCCTTCAGGACGATGGTGGCAGTCCGAACGAAGAGCTGAGAGTGGGAGCCAGGACCGCGGGAAGGGAGGGCTCAGAAGGCGCCAGTGACAGGAATCCGGAGCATTAACCACCCACGTGACACAGGTTCAAGCGCTTTAGAGCGCTGAGGAAACTGCACACGTGCCAACTGTGCGCCGGCAGTATCTGTGGGCAAACGGGGTCGTTCACACCAAACTGCAGCTTATGGTAAAAAGAGCCTGTCGAGACTGGCGCAGTTAAGGGGCGCAGAAAACAGTCTGCAAAGGAAGCGTCTGAAAATAAGAAAGATGCCGCGAAGTTTTACTGTTTCGAGGACTGGTAGGAACGGTAAGGAAAGCAAGCAAGCTGGGAAGGACGTCTTCTCCATTTTCTTTTCCAGCTGATCGATCCAGCCTTCTTATGTCCGAGACGGATCAATACCAGTTATTCCCTAACCCACTGACGAAGCCACTGGGCCCAGGTCGAGCGCCTGGGGGCTGAAGCCCCGTCACCGAATGGAAGAGGGGCCGGCTAAACGCCGTCGATCGCCGCTCTCCCGCTGTCGATCGCCGCTCTCCGGCGCCCTGACTTCCTTCGGCAGCCCGCGCCCGCCCCGCTCCCGAGCTCCCCGCCAGGTGGCCCCCCCAGAGACTGCGGAGCGCCGAGCCGGAAGCCGCCCAGCTGCGAGCCGGCCAACGCACCCCGGCGGGATTTCCCATTCCCCACACCCGCGTCCTCACCGCCCGCTGACCCGGTGATACCTGCGGGCACCGCTCCCAGCAGGGGCTCTGTTCAGTCACAGCCGGGCGGCCGTTCCGCCAAGACCCGCGGGGGCCGCGGGCGTCGCGGGCAGAGGAAGCCGGCGTGGGTAGTCGCGCCACAGCCAGATAGCCGTGGCCACACCCGGCCCTTACACGCCGCCGGCCTACCGGCGTCTCGGAAAAGCCAAGGCGCGGCCCCGACGCACGCACGCGCACCGGCCATGGAAGGAGCCCCCAGCAGCCCCCGCGGCTCCAGTCCGCGGTCCTGGCTGGGGCCTTCTCCCAGTCCCGCCCCCTGCTCCAGACCCCGCCCACCCCGAGACTGGCATCCACCCCCAGTGCCAGGAATGGGTGGCTGGGGGCCTTGGTAGAGGTGAGGGTGAGGGGCAGGGAGAATGGCCTGTCAAACAGGCTTAGCTTCCCCCATCCTATCCCGGAGAATGGGCCAACATCTTCCTCACCTTCTCGGTGCCACCACCACCCCATTTGCGGAGAACCAAAAATCATGGCAGAACTTTGAAAAGATACCGGTTTGTAGAAAGCATGGTTTTCACTGGTTGATGCACTCATTCATTGCTTCTGTTTTGCATCCAAGTAAAACGTCTCGCGGAAGGCCATGAGTTCAGTTTTGGCTTGTTGAGGATGAAATACTTTGTGCCGTCCAAGAAGCATTATCAAGTAGACATATAGATAGAGGTGTCTGGAGCCTCGAGGTGTCTCGGGCCAGCGGTGTAAAATTTGTGTTAATTCTGGGTAAGTGACAGTTGAGGTTATGGGTGAGGACAACGTTGCAGAAGGAAAGAGAAAAAGAGAAAATACAAAAAGGAAAGGGTCCAGGGTAAGAGAGTAAGGAGCTATCTATTCTTGTTTAGGCCAATGCTGTTTGGCTTGTTTGGCCAATGTTAGGCTCAATAGAAATATTATGGTTTAAGCCTCAGACCTATATTTGGATTAAATGACCATTAAATCCCCTTTTGACCGATAGTCTATGTTTCTATGAAATGTGGGATGATGAAATACTCATTTCTTTGAAGCTTTCAGGAAAGAACATTATTTTGCTTTTGTACCATTTTACAAGCTGAAATGCTCTGAGCCATTAATGATTCCAGTATTAAGGACTCTTCCAGATATATTGATTGTTTCTGTCAGTGCCTATTCCTAGGTTTGTATGACTGGGACATCTACACCTGAAATGTCTTTGGTGTTAGAATCATGTATGCGATTCATATTAGATGTTATTTCAAGATAATCCATTTTAAACCTCTTAAATTCAGTAGTGATCATGCTTAAAACATAACCATATTAACTGAATTAATCACAAACTTCAAAACAGTATTTGATGTGTTTCATACTCAAGAAAACCTAACCTCTTAACCTTTTATTTCTCCTCTGTGTTCTATTTTAGTGTGGAGTATTCATGGTTTTTAGAATGTGTCCTTCATGTTTATGCTTCCTGAACTAATCCTTAACTGTCTAGCAGGATACTGTATCTCTTTTAAGAATGTTACCATAGTTCTAAAAGTCAGACCCAGAGGGGTGTCTGGGTGACTCAGTGAGTTGAACGTCTGAATCTTGATCAGCTCAGGTTATGATCTCAGGGTTGTTGAGATGGAGCCCCGAGTCAGCTTTGCAGTGGCATGGAACCTGTTTAAGATTCTTTCTCCCTCTTCCTCTACTCTCCCTCATGTGCATGCGCTCTTTTGCTCACTCGCTCTCTCTCTAAAAATCTAAAACTAAACTAAACTAGAAGTCAGACCCAGAGATCACCGCCTTCAGAAAAGAACTTTCTTTCAGCTAGTTTTCTGAGAGCCCCTTTGACATCCTTGTTTCTCAGGCTATAAATTATGGGGTTCAACATTGGAGTCACCACTGTATAGAACACAGATATCATCTTATCCTGCTCTTTTGTGGTCTTGGAGTTTGGCCGCATGTAGGTGAATATTCCCGAGCCATAGAAGAGGACAACAACAATGAGATGGGAACCACAAGTAGAGAAAGCCTTGAGCCTCCCCTCCCCGGACTGCATCTGGATCACAGTGGAGATAATATTCCAGTAGGACACAAGGATCAGGCAGACAGGAGCTAAGAGGATGACCACGCCCATGGCAAAGATGGCCATTTCTGTGCCATAAGTGTCTGCTGAAGCCAGCTTCAGGAGGGCAGGAGGTTCACAAAAGTAGTGGTTAATAATGTTCTGTCCTTGATAGGGTAGTAGGAAAGTAAAGATGGTATCCACCAGAGACACTAGTGCCCCACTGGCCCAGGATCCTATGGTCAACTGGAGACACACCTTTTGGGTCATGATGGTGGAGTAGTGCAAGGGCTTGCAGACAGCCACATACCGGTCATAGGACATCACCGCCAGCAGTGCACACTCTGTACACCCCACCAGAAGAAAGACAATTATCTGTGTCATACACCCCAAAAAAGAAATAGTTTTTCTCTGCACAAGGAAGTGGACCAACACTTGAGGGACAATGCTAGTAGAGAAGCAGAGATCTGCGAACGAGAGGTTTCTAAGAAAAAAGTACATGGGAGTGTGAAGTCGAGAATCCATGAAGATGAGAAGGATGATGAGCAGGTTTCCAAGCACAGTCAAAAGATAAATGATGAGAGAAAGAATAAATAGCAGGATCTGGGTCTGCAAGTCCTGGAAAAGGCCAAAGAAAATAAACTCAGTCACAAAGGTTTGGTTTTCCTCTCCCATTGAGATTTATGTCTCTTTACCTGTTTGCACAAATAAAAAGAACAAACTTTGGGATGGTGATGTCATGTCCCATAGAAGAGTATCATTTAAAGCCCAGTTTAAAACCAAATTGGATATTTCTAGCTTGTTGCTATTCATATCATTCTAAGTAATACGAAATAGAATGTTTTAATTCTTATTAGTTGGTTGTAATGTAAGTTCACTTCATTGTTTCCCAAATCTTTTCTTCCCATTTTCACTTATTTATAGAGTATGACATTATTAAAGCCTTCTTGGCTAGTTCTAATAGGAGGATATTAGACTTTATGTGGATTTTACTAAATGACTATATACACATTGTTACAAAGTGATGTGTATATTGTTAGCACTGTTACCATGTATAAAACTGCACCAATAACTGCTCAAAATATTACATATTTAATCATAATACATATGCTTGAAAAATGAGAAACAGCTTTCTGGCATCAAACTGAATTTGACCTCTTAAAAAAACCACAATGTTGGGGGCGCCTGGGTGGCTCAGTGGGTTAAGCCTCTGCCTTCGGCTCAGGTCATGATCTCGGGGTCCTGGGATCGAGCCCCACATCAGGCTTCCTGCTGAGCAGGGAGCCTGCTTCCCTTCCTCTCTCTCTCTCTGCCTGCCTCTCTGCCTACTTGTGATCTCTGTCTGTCAAAAAAAAAACATCAAAAAACCCACAATGTTTTCTTGCTTTAAAGTTAAGGAGGGCATATGATGTGATGAGTACTGGGTGTTACATGCAAGTAATGAATCATCGAACACTACATCAAAAACTAATGATGTACTTTAGTGTACAGCAGCTAACTTAACATAAAAGAAAACACATAGTGTCAGGTTACTATAAACAATTATATACTAACAAATGAGATAACTTAGAAAAATATAAATATTAACATGTAATATGTATTTGATTCTTTAACTGAAGTATAGTTGACATACAATGCTATATTAGTTTCAAGTGTACAACATAGTGGGATTTGACAATTCTTTACACAATGCTCAACACAATAAATGTAGTTACCACCTGTCACCATAAAACATTATCACAATATTAGTTACCATATTATTTATGCTGTACTTTTCATCTCTGTGATTTATTTTGTTTATTGTTTTATTTTATAATGAATTTTGTACCTTATATAGTCACCTCTTATAAAATATATAAAATTATATTCTATGGCTTTAAAAAACATAATGGCCCAAGAATTATTTACTAAGGATAAATGCAAATAACTATTAAATTTAAGAAAAATACTTGATGTAATTATAAATACTTATAAATAAATAGAACACAAGAATGAGAGATACAGGGGTGCCTAGGTGGCTCAGTGGGTTAAGCCTCTGCCTTCGGCTCAGGTCATGATCCTGGGGTCCTGGGATCGAGCCCCGCATAGGGCTCTCTGCTCAGCAGGGAGCCTGCTTCCCTTCCTCTCTCTCTGCCTGCCTCTCTGCCTACTTGTGATCTCTCTCTGTCAAATAAATAAATAAAAATCTTTTAAAAAAAAAAGAATGAGAGATACATTTTTCACCTGTGTAATTAGCTAAAATTTTAACAAACAACTACATCACAAAATAGTAATTAGTATTTTATTGAAAATTTAACCCAAGACAGGCATCAAGAGTTTTATATAATCACATTATCCAATAACATTATAAGGTAGACATTATTAATCTTACTTTGCAGATGAGAAAGCTGAGGCACAGAAAAGTTCATCCACCTTCCCCAAATCACACACTTAATAAATGGCAGAATTCTGTAAAATGAGGGTGCAGAAAAAACATTTTCGTGGGGCACCTGGGTGGCTCAGGGGTTAAAGCCTCTGCCTTCGGCTCAGGTCATGATCCCAGAGTCCTGGGATCGAGCCAGCCTGCTTCTCTCTCTCTCTCTGCCTGCCTCTCTGCCTACTTGTGATCTCTGTCTAATAAATAAATAAATAAATATTTAAAAAAAATTTTTTTTCGTGCAATGCAAGTGGGTAGGAAAATCAGTCCCATCCTTTTGGAAAATAATTATGTCAAATATATTTAAATATTTAAATAGTCATACTTTGACCCAGTTCTCAATAATATGGGGGAGGGAGAGATTCTGTTTTTACCAGTCCTTTCTTCCCCATGAGGAAGAATCTGATTTGTGACATTCTAGGATGTTGCATGGTCCATATAACTGCTTGCTAGAGTTACTGCGATTTAAAAGGTCATGCACATGGGTGACTGGGTGGCTCAGGGGGTTAAGCCTCTGCCTTCAGCTCAGGTCATGGTCTCAGGGTCCTGGGATAGAGCTCTGCATTGGGCTCCTTACACACCGGGGAGCCTGC